CTTATTGAAAAAAATTTATAGCAACAGCTTTTTAAAAATACTTTTCCGTTTTGCTGTTGTTGACAAGCTAAGTTATCTGCTGACATTTTATTATGAAATACCAATTTTACTACCAAAAAAAAAAAAAAAATCATTGTAATTCCTGTTATGGCTTGCTGCCCACAACTAGTTTTCTAAAACCGGTTTCTAGCCCGAGAAAACACTTTTGTGCTTTGTAATGCTTACATTAAGTAGGGATTTCACAATTTTTCAAAATGGTATTCTGATTCGAACATGAGTTGACAAGTATATTTACATGCATGCACACATATTTATAACAATAAGTAGTTGTTTAATTAATTTTATGCATACATACATATGCATTTTAACGGAATATCATTAATTATAGCTAAGCAAGTCTTTGGTTTCATTTTATTTTATTATTTTATTATATACATACATATGTGTTATATCAATATTTATGCGTTTAAAGTTTTTTATTGAACTATAATAAAATATTTACGGCCTTATTCATAAAAAATAAAGTAGCTTTATAAAAGGTTTATAAATTGAAAAAATTTATGGAAACGTCAATTTATAAAGAAGCTCTTTATTTTTTATGAATAAGGCCATTAAAGTACAAAAGTTATTGTATTATGTCATATTATATTTTATTTGATTTTATTACACCTATTAAGTAATTATTCGCTTTTTTCGTAGCCTTTTTTCAAACGCCAAAAAATAATTGCCATTCATTTCAGTGCATAGATTATTATTGCTTTGTTCGCCAAAATAGGACTCTCTTATCTATAGACATATCGACATGTGTTAAACCATATTAATGTTTGCCCAAAATAAGTATTGCCAATGCAAAGACGTGCAAATTAACACGTCTACAACGCAACAGCGCCACAATACTTGAATATTTATGCAGCTATTTTTAGTAACTATTAAAAAGAAAACAAATTTAGAAGGCAGTGAGGTAAACATTGGTTCCAAAAGTGGACCAGGGCCCCAAGGAAGACTCGACAGGGTCTACGTTGGCGTGAAAAATGGGTGCTTACAAGTAGTCGACAGTAAAAAACAAGCATGTTGGTTTGGCTTTACCTATAAATGTAGACAGATAATACTCTACTAAAAAACACTAAAAAAAAAAGTTCAAAATTTTCGGTGGAAAAATAGTTGTATTGAGACTTAAAAAAAAACCATTTGAAGCTTTAAGATTCTAATTTTCAGATTTCTCGGCTAAACATTTTTAAAAGCTACGGTTCTCATGCAATTCGTACAGGTAGCGCGAACAAATAATTTTGTAAAAAAGCTAGAAAAAACTTGTTTTCGGTTAGGCTAGGATATGGATCATATAGCCTTTTTATTAACCTTTAATTAACCTCCCTTAATTAATTTTCTATTTTTGTTTAGTAATGTATTTTAAGACAGTTCGCAAAAAATCCTCCTCACTACATATCAATTCAAGAGCAATAAGTATTGATTTCTTCCTTTGTGAGCTAAAAAGGGAAACGCGGTATTCATTTAGCAGAGATGTAAAAGAATGCATTCTTTTGTGAATAATTATTAACTTGATTTATCGTAAAATGATTGATTTTTTGAATTCTTTGACTGGGACTACAAAAATGAAGTCACCATTCAGACTTCATTTTGTGACTTCGAATTCTTTTTTCATTCATTTTTTGGTTATTCATGTATTGCATTCATTGAATAAAAAGTCTCACTGAAGTCAATTGAAGTCAGTAGGATTCATATGGAGTCATTTGCNGTAGGAGTCATATGGAGTCATTTGAAGTCAATTTACCTGTGGTATACGAGACATGATCGCAAACTATTTTTACTCAAACAATACTTATTAAACTGTAAAATATATTATACAAATAATTCATTATGGATCTTGTTAGTACTCTTTGTGAAAAGTTAACATGTGTCATATATCCGAATTACAATGTTAAATCTGTTACGATTTTTTTTTCTCTCCGGATTAATACTTCCCTGTATAATACATAATGTGTTATACTTATTTATTTTTCTCTTCTAACTTTACAAAGAAAACATTTTCTAATCGAGTACTATGAGGGTTGGCGTTTATATTTTTCGCCTAATTACGTNGGATTAATACGGCCCTGTATAATACATAATGTGTTATACTTATTTATTTTTCTCTTCTAACTTTACAAAGAAAACATTTTCTAATTGAGTACTACGAGGGTTGGCGGTTATATTTTCCGCCTAATTACGAAATTACAATGCCTTAATATATTCCAATAATTGCCAAAAATTTTAAACTACGGCTCATCAAAGAGAGAAGTTCCTAGGCGTAAAATATAAAGTGCAACCCTCATAAATCACTCACAATGCGTATTGCTATGCAGTTACCGATTGCAGTTATGAATGATCATTCGGCGCTCTGCTTTATTGACTTGAACATAAATATTATTTATTATCAAACATACTTCGAGCACTACGCTCTCATGGTATAAGCCCCCGCATCCCTTCGCACTTTGCTTGTTCATAGCTACATCACTGTACAATATCTCTGGCCGTTCTACTTTCGCTTTCTAAACATTGCAGTTTGTCGCTGCAATGTTTTTATTGTTTTAGCCAATGCACCGCTAATCATCAGCTAATGGAAAAGTGCGTGCATAAAAAACGTAATTTTCGGACCGTCGCGATGCACACTCATATCTTTATCGTTGCAATTCCTCGCTACCCAACAACAACAAGCATCACTCAGCAGCCTTCGATTGGGAATCGCTCTTTCTCCGTTACATTTATTGACTTCTTTGTTAAACTATTTTAATTTTTTAGCATAAGCATTCTATTTTCACAGCAAAGCTTTAATAGCGCAAATTTTTATGCTAGGTTTTACAACAAGGAAAATTTAAATGGTTCCATTTTACTTTTCACTTTGTGCATTTCAATTTTAATTTTCTTAAGAAAATTTGTTTATATTCTGTAAAATTTTCATATAAAATTATCGACAAAAATTATGCCAGCAAAGCTTTAATATTTTTAAAAGTTTTATAATTTTCATTATATTTAAGTATAGTACAAGCTTTCACTCATTACTAAATCTATATTTCGTGATTGACTAAAGTCAAGCGCTTAGTTATTTCAACATATTTTGTAATATTTATTGCTTTTTTGTTTTTTTTTTTTTTTTAATAGCGTGTGTCTAAATTTTCCGTTAGCTAAAGCTACCTTACTAACGATATTTTTTAACTCGAAATATATCGAAATTTTCACTGAGCTGTTATAAACAACAGAGTAATGAAAGCTCCGACTCACTGAATGCTTTCACGAAAAACCATGTATTCTCAAAACTTCGGAAAACAAATCTTTGTTCACTTATTTCAAAAACTCCTTCAACCAAACTTTTTTCAAAACTTATATTAGCTGTGTTTTTTTTTNTTAATAGCGTGTGTCTAAATTTTCCGTTAGCTAAAGCTACCTTACTAACGATATTTTTTAACTCGAAATATATCGAAATTTTCACTGAGCTGTTATAAACAACAGAGCTTTCATTATTCCGACTCACTGAATGCTTTCACGAAAAACCATGTATTCTCAAAACTTCGGAAAACAAATCTTTGTTCACTTATTTCAAAAACTCCTTCAACCAAACTTTTTTCAAAACTTATATTAGCTGTGTTTTTTTTTTACACGCATATACATCTACGCTTAACGTGTAAAAAAAAAACAATCATCGAAAATTTCTATTTCAAAACAAGTAATTTTGATTTCATCGACAACTAGTTATAGGCGCACATAAAGTTTGTCGCTTAGAGCTCCATACAATTTTAAAGCGCAGATACGTATACGTGTAAAAAAAACACGCCTATTGCCTCATTAGATCACTCGTTGTATTTATTACGTTTTTAGTCAGTTGCTTTCTTCCGGGTCTTACGCTAATTTTTAGCGAAAGCCTTTTTGCGCGCTTTCACTGTCAAGCTTTCACCTTTTACTAACCCCGCATATATTTTATGACTGACTGAAATAAAGCGCTTAGTTGTTTCACCATATGTTTTAATATTTATTGCTTGTTGTTTTTTTTATATTGTTGAAAACGCTTTAGTCCAAACTTTCACTCAGTCGAAGCGTCCTGAACAGATAATTAAGTTACCACTTTCACTAGGGCTATAGGTATTTTATATGATTCGAGAAATGTTGAAACCGAGCTTGCACATGTCTGAATCAATGGACGCTTTCATAAAAACTTGCCTCCAAACATTTATTGTTTTTCTAGGCAGTTGTATTTTATCTATCTTTAACACTAATATTCTTGAGTAAGCTTTTTTGACGGCTTTTACGGGCAAACTTTCACGTATTACCACAACTATATTTTATAATAATTGACTGATATCAAATGCTTAGTTATTTCACCAACTTTTTTAATATCTATTGCTTGTTGTCTTGTTATGCTGTCGTATTGCTTTTGTGCAAACTTTCAATTATTTAGTTTATATTTCACGATTGACTGAAATCAAGTGCTAAGCAATTTCACAATATTTTGCAATACTTATTGCTTGTTGTTTTTTATATTACTGGAATGGCTTTCGGCCAAACTTTCACCTACTTTAAGTTTCCTTAACAAAATCTTAAGTGAAAACATTCACTATTTATATTTTTTAACCCGAAAATATCGAAATTTTGAAGATTACTACATATATATAAAGTTATCAGCAAAGGTTTTTCTAAAAAAAAAAAAAAATATTTATTTATTAACACCACANAATTACTACATATATATAAAGTTATCAGCAAAGGTTTCTCTAAAAAAAAATATATTTATTTATTAACACCACAAAAGTATTTTGATACGTTGGTTTAATTGCATTGTCTGCGATTTTTAATCATTTCTTTTTTCACTTTTTTCGTTATATTTTTGTTTTAGTATTTTTAAATGTTCCTCACTTATTCCCATTATCTTCGATTGAAATTTGTATTTGTATTTTATTCGCACATACATACTTATATTTTCACTTTNCGTTGGTTTAATTGCATTGTCTGCGATTTTTAATCATTTCTTATTTCACTTTTTTCGTTATATTTTTGTTTTAGTATTTTTAAATGTTCCTCACTTATTCCCATTATCTTCGATTAAAATTTGTATTTGTATTTTATTCGCACATACATACTTATATTTTCACTTTTTGTTCATAAATCAAAGAGATTTCGTCGAAAGTTTCGCATTCTAATTTAATTTTTTTTTCGCATTCGAAATTTCGTATTTATGCTTTTGCTATTCAATAATAAAAAGCTTCAATTAAGGATTCTCATCAAAATACCATTTCAAAGTGTGCTAGAAAAAATCCCAATAGCTTTCATTATTCCTGCTTAAGTGTCCTACTTAAGAAACTCATAAAACTAATTTTCTTTAATACGCTGTTCAATCACAACGCTATCTTTAACCCCGCCCAAATCGCTTTTCACACGCGCTCCATCATCGTTGTCGTTGCCTTATTAGTGCCGTTGCCCGTACTCATGCGATAATATCGCCGCAAAATCTCCGCTAATTCCGCTGTTAAACGTTCCGCGCGACTTAACCTTTTATTTTTCGCCTCGAGTTCACTGCCATAGGGCGGCTGCTCTTGCAGCGGCGCCAGCGGTGTGGTAACAATTACCGGCAATGTGGTGGTTGTAGGTGACGGTAATAGCCGATGTACTGTTGGTATTTTCGGTGCTGAACGTAGAATTTTCACTTTGCTGCGTGTGCCCGTCTGCTGCTGTTGTTGTAGTTGATGCACGTTCGCGTCCTTTTCCTGCGCCTGCTGCTCCTTAGTCAATAGGCGCGCACTAGCACTGCTAACAGCTGGCGCTGGCAGAAGAGCTGGTCGCGTTGGACGCATACGCTCGAGTGGCTCTATTTCGGCCACGGTGGCCATCGATGTGGCTGCTGAGGGTGCCTCAGACTCGGCCGCCTTGCTGCCCGACTGCTTCATGTCGGTAAGTATTTTACGTTCCCAACGCTTACACAACATGTACGCGTACATGCAGAGAAAGTAGACGAAGATGAAAGTGAATGCAGCAATGCCATAGAAGCCCAATTTCTTGCGTGTCCATTTGCCGCGACGCATCCATTTGATGTCCTCCAAATACTTGGCAATCACCGGCACAATAACAAACCAATAAATCAACACTGTGGCGACTTGTATGGCGCGACGGAGAAACATTTTGCGCAGTTCATTTATGTTGGCAATAAGTTTTGCAATTTTCGATCTTTTTGTTTGACTTTTTCCTTTTAAATCACTAACTTTTTCGCTTTTCGTAATTTCGTTAACGCGCGCGCTATTTGGCATCACTTCTAGCCGCACTGCACCAGCAAGTTGTTGTGCTATTGGCCGCGTCAGTTTACATATTAAACTGGCTAGCTGATTGCGATTTGTTGACTGAGCGGCACAACATTCGATCGTTACGAATGCGCGCACGCTCGCCACACGCCACAGCGAAATACCACCAGCGCCGATCGATCAGCTATCAACTGTCCGTCTGTTGTCATCATCAACAGCTGAGCCACCCAGTTGCTGGGGGCGATCAGTCGGTGCCGCAAGACGGTCAAACGATTGCTCCATCGATTGACACTTACACAAACGTTGCGGCCACACACACACACAACACACATAGACTCACATATAGCTGGTGGCATTTTTCGTAAGCTAATCGCTTTTGCACAACTTTGCAATTACTACATGCCACAACAACACTCGTTTAAGCTACTGCGCGCGCTTCATGCGCTTTGGTAGCTTTAGCTATGCAATGCAGTGCTAAGTATGCGTAACTGAGCCTTTAGGCTTTTAGATTTTTAAATCTATTTGCCTTCATTGTGATGTCAAATATGAGTGGATATATGTAATTATGTAAATAAAACTCCGATTGTACCACAGCCTGCATATTAAATCTCACCACCTCTCTGCCACCTCGTCGCTGTCATCAACACAAATGTCGTCATCCTCACTGTCTTCGCTATTTATTTTGCCGCTTTCGCTTGCGTCTTCTTTTGTGTCATTTCTTTTGTTTGTTTGCAAATGTTTTTCGATTTGAACTGTAAGTTAGATGGTTCATTGGCGCCTAAAGCATTTTCAATGCTGGCACGCAATCGCACAAATATGTCAACATTGAGATTAATATGGATGAGTGTTATTTGTGCATATTGTTGTTATTGTTGTGCGAGATTGCAGGAAACGCATTACAAGTGCGTAGAAAACTTGTACTTCAAATGCGGTTAAACAAATGCATAGATATCGCAAGCAACGCACAGAAGCTCAAAACAGACGCATTGGAATTTTTGTTGATTCACGAATGATGGGTTGCAGTTCAAGTTCCGTTGTAGCTTCTGGAAATAGAGGCAATAAGTAATAAAGTTGAATTGAATTTGAATTAAATTTTATGTTATTCCCATACAAATAGGGCTCGATCCTAACCGCCAAAGAGACGTAAACTTATTTTTTATTTTTTTTATTTTTTTTCGATGCAGAAATGCATCGGATGCTCTAGGAACATTTTTGCATCAAAAAGAAAATTTTGAAAAAAATATCGTTAACGTGTTTTTGGCGGTTAGGTTTCGATATAAATATTTAGCACTCATATATTTGTCAAGTGTTTGGCCACAATGCCTTTTCACGATATATCGAAGATCTGTAAGAATGACCGCCATTAGAAATTAAAGAATTTACTATGGCTCGAACAGGAGTTAAACCTAGGACTTACCGAAACTTATTAACTGGCCTCAGAAGGCTCCTGAGATGTTCCAAAGAAGTAAATTTTTCTGTATACCTGGGCCTACCTATGCGAATTCATCCAAATGTGGAGACAACTAAGCTGCCTAACTTCATGAAAGCAGGCTAGATTCGGCTGGATAGCCACTGCAGTCCTCCGCGAAGACCATTAATTAGGGTCCACAGTCATTCACTAGTTGTGATCTAACAGAGGCTCCCCGAGAAGATATTCACCTGCATTCTCGTGGATACATTGTCTTTGATGTACCTAACTGCCTCCTTAATTGCAAACGTTTCGGCCTGGAAAACGCTTGCATAGTCTGGTACGCGAAAGTATAACTTTAGGTTATATTGCTCAATGAAAGTCCCTTGAAGATCTGGACCTGGTGCGGAGTTTGTGGTGAACTCAGGTCTTCAACAGGATATATTCGGTGACCAGTGCTTTAAATTCAGGCGGTAATGCGACTAGGATGGAACCGTGCTCGAACGATCTTTCCATCCAGAGCTCCAAAGAACGCAGTCTGGTGGCACTGTTGGCAGATGAGTTTTTAATAAAAATATCTATGGATAATAAGTCAAGCGCGACGTTCAAAACATCCTTTCGCTTAGCTTTTTATCTATGTAATCCTTATTAATAGCTGGCCACCAGGCCAACGCCCCTTTAAAGAGTATGGGCCCACCTGTTGCCTAGTGTTGTCTAGGCTGCATAGAGAGCCATCGTGGCATGCCTTGCACTCTCTTCGATGTTTGACTTCCAGTTAAGTTTGAGATCCAGAAAAGCTCCAAAGTATTTCACCTTGTTTGACAGATCCTGTTCCGTTCCTCGGAATCTTGGCTTAGTAAAATTAGGTAATTTAGTTTTATTTGTGAAAAGCATAAGGTCAGTTTTCTCAGAGTTTACGCTAAAAGAACAACCTATGGCTCAGGAATATACCGTCTTCAGAGCCCTTTCCATAATTTCACTTATGACCGAAGGAAACTCAACTAATACCAGTATTACAGTAAGCCACTGCCTTGATTCTCTGGGGGTCTAGCTTTACCAGTCGTTTGTTTAAGACCATGAGCCATAATAACGGTAATAGCACTCCTCCCTGTGGGGTGCCTATCACTTCATGTTCGGTCTTGCTTCTGTTACGTAATTCGGCGTGTATTGCTCTATTTCTATCAAAGTCCGGACGCAGTGCAGAAAAAAATATACGCCTATTTTTTTATTTTAAAATCAATAAAAATACAGAGGTCACTGAAAGCACGAGAAAGTTTTCCATGTATTTTATATGGGAAAACCCCGCTTTTCGTAGAAATGATATAGAATTTTTAAAAATAAATATTTTTCAACCGGAAAACTCTTATTCTCGGCAGAAGGTTCCCAGTAATAATACCAAATTTTTTCATGGTAACTATAATTTATAGGTCCGTCAAAAACGTAATAGGGGGACCAATANTCAGAGGTCACTGAAAGCGCGAGAAAGTTTTCCATGTATTTTATATGGGAAAACCCCGCTTTTCGTAGAAATGATATAGAATTTTAAAAAATAAATATTTTTCAACCGGAAAACTCTTATTCTCGGCAGAAGGTTCCCAGTTATAATACCAAATTCTTTCGTGGTAACTATAATTTATAGGTCCGTCAAAAACGTAATAGGGGGACCAATAAAAAATCGTTAGTATTAAAAGGGGGTTAAATAAACAATTGGGTATTATTGAAAGTGTCATGAAGAGAACCAGTGTTTACCGATCGAAAAATATTGATTTTCAAGAGTTCTCTACCATTTCCACGAAAATTTTTTTTCCCCCATAGAAAATACATGGAATTTTTGAGCGCTTTGAGCGACCTCTAAATATTTTTTAATTTCAATATAAAAAAATTGGGGTATACTTTTTCGATATAGAACAATCCTAAGGGCCGATAGCATTAAAGTTCCAACTTTACTTTGTTTTTGGTCCACCCTAATATACATAGACACTAAGCCCTGCCCGGAAAGATCATGTTTATTCCGCACTGGAGGACAATTTATTTTTATTTCGAAAACGGCCTCAAAAAAGAGTCAAATAAAACCCGAACAATTCCAAAATTTACAGCAAAAAAAGACAAATTTTAAGTTCACTTAATGGTACCGTTAGTTGTCTGATCGCATAAATCCTATAGGATATACATGCTAGATCCGAGAAAATTTCGAACCGTTCCAAAAAATTACGAATAATTTCTTTGTCAGTTTTACTGTGGCGACTAATATTTATTTCAATATTGTTACAGAGCTGTGTATCACGATTTTGTTTAACAAAAACAAAACGTGTTTTTATAAATGCCTATAAAACGCAAAAATTACTGGCTAAGTTGTGCTTAAAAATAAAAGTTCCTGAAGAATCCATAAAGTTTATAATAAAAACAAAACGATTGAAAGGTTTCAAAAATAAAAAATATAAAATATTCCACAATTTAAAAAAAAATCCGAAAAACCTCTAATAAAACTGGAAAAATTCTCAAAGCGCCGCGGTAAAATAATTAAAAAATCTCCAAAAAGTATTGGCGCTGAAGGAATCCCGAAAGGTCGCAAAAAATACTACATTAATCCCGAAAAACTTTCAATCAAAAAATCTCGATAAATACGATCATTTCATTTTCTTATAAACTCCAAAAAAAAAAACACAGAAATTATCGACAACAATCTGCTGAACCATTTTAAGCAAATTTTGCATTTACTTTTTGATAAGGAAATAACAAGAAATACATAGCGAGCGTTCTTACCCAAAATACTTAAAATAGAAAAAATAAAAAATGATTTCATTTTCTGCAATGTGAGGATTTTAAAAAAAAGTATTTGGCGCCTATTCTGTATACTCTAGTTTTTGGGTGATATTCCAAATATTAAATTCTATCCAAGTTTATACAAAAAAAGCACGATGGAAAAAGCTTTTGATCGTACTCAGGCGCTGATCGAATTTCTTATTTCTATAAGCTGTTTGATCATCTTGATATAACATTTTCATTTCGTACAAACATCGGACCAAAATTAGAATACCATTTCCATCTTTACGGAATTTATAAAAACGATTGATTCGCATAATTTCCTTGCAATTTACGTTAATGAGCCAATTCAATGTGCTTTTACGATGATTTTTTTATTTATTTGGTAATTATCATGAAAAATATTCAACGAAAATTTGAATAATTACCAACAAAATGATTAGCGCGTTCCAATTGCTGTGCTTGAATAGTTATTTTGTCACTATGACTTGTAACTCCATGTACATTCTATTGTGCTTATGTACTCGTATGTACATACATATATAAAAATGTATCTGCTATAAGTGTAGTGCTAAAAATTGCATTGAATTGCTGTCGACGTGACTGCGACACCATCGGCCCAACTGCACTTTGCATACAGTTCGTAGATACATAAATCAGCTAACACACACACACTCTCCTAGGCGCGCGCACACGGCCACACACATTTGCGCTTATACTATTTAATTTTGTTTACTTATTACACGTTTGACAGACAGCTTGACTTGTAAACTTGCTGTACGGGTTAAAGCGTTTCGAGCATTTAGGCGATTAAATTTTTACATACATTCCCATTGACACGTGTTCGATTAATATGTCTACGTGCATACATATGTAGGTATTTATGTACATTTGTACATACTATTTAAATATGCGTGTTTGTATGCGCGGATTTATGTGTATGCATATTATTTACCAATAAGTTATTGTTGTTAAAA